ATGTAGTCGAGATTAAAAGATGCATCCCTCCGTTAAAGCTGTGATGATGCGCAGTTAAATTGTACACAATCGGGTTGTTTGCAAGGTGACCTTTTCATAAATTCAATTGGTCACGTTTCTCTGTTCTCCCTGTATCAGGAAATTCCTCGCATTGATGAAGGTTGAAAGCTGTATAGAAGACCTTCATTATTCATAGGAATCTTGTTTTGTGTCCTGTCTATTATCTTCTTACTTTATTTTTTTCTTACGAATGGAAATGACCGAACATTGACTTTAAAAGCCCTGAGCAATTGTTGGTTTTGAAAGATTGAAGTGTAGGTTGTGCTGTTGTATAGTGAAATCTTTTTCACAGTAGCAGTAATGTTTTCCATGTACCATATGGCCTATAAATCAGTATTCATTGGATTATTTTGTCTAATCATGGGAGGGGACTAATCGTGCAAAAACCTTTATGCTTTGTCTATTTTGAGTTGTATCCTGGTATCCAATATTCAACATTTCAGCTTGATTAAAACTGTTGTAACGGGATAGTGCTAGGACTTTGAATACCACATTTTTGTCCTTAAAATAAATTTTAAAGTGACTTTGAGAAGACCAGTCAATGGGGAAGTTAAATTTGTCATATAATAATAATAATAATAAAGTCTATATAGCGCATAATGATAAATTCTCCAAGCGCTTTACAACAATCAATTATACAATAAATTACATGATTAATCTAAAGATTCCACATATTCCACAATTAGTGAGATATGTCTTTTAAAAAGATTAAATCAGTATAGATCTCCTGTCTTTCATGTCGAAGATAGTTGGAGAAAAAATTCAAGGATCTATGTAACCTTTGCTTGAGGACCTTTAAAGTGAAGGTTGAGTTCTGGGAAGAGGTACAAAATAATTTGTGAGCGTTATTATTGTTATTATGCAAGGGTGGAAGAACATCAGATTAAACTTGTTCCCTGAAAAGCATGGCTATTCAAATGCCTTTATATTCTAAATATGACATGAAACATAGTAAAAATCGGGGGGTAGGTTTTTTTCGCCATGTGCTTGTGTAGTCCCATATACATCATTCTGTGTACAGTGCTTGTAACTTTGCCAAGATTTGGCCAAATTTCTTATCATGTTGATGATTCCAGAACCTTGCAATACACACAAATACTTATATACTAGATGATCAACCTTTTCTGATAGATTCCACACTGTTTCTTTCACAGTGCAATCACATGACCAGAACTCGACTTTATCTTTAAAGATGGCAATGATACATCAGAGTCCCATTCTCTGTGGCTATCCAGAGGATTATAGTGAATCATATTGCTGATGTGAAAATGATTCTCTTTGTTCCACTCTCCGTTTCATTAATCATGAATGGAAAATCGTTTATGAAACCCTTGTCATTGAAAGCTAAACAAACATTGGGCTAAGGTTTCTTGACAGTGTCTTAGAAAGAATTTTTAATGAATACTCAAACAAACAGAGGGTTAAAATTGCAGGGGTTATAGTAACTTTCCAATCGATGAGATTGAGATTGGTTTCTTTGGTTCGAAATCATTCATGAAAGCCTTGTCAATGAATGCTTGAACAAACAATGGGCGACGGTTTCTGACTTTCTGGACAGAATACCATACTCGAACAAATCAGGGGTTATAGTAACTTTCCAATCAATGGGATTGAGATTGATTTCTTTAATTGGAAATCGTTCATTAAAGCCTTGTCATTGAATGCTAAACAAACAGTGGGCGGCAGTTTCTTGACAGTGTCTTAGAAACATTTTGAATGAATGCTCAAACAAATCAGGGTTATAGTAACTTTCCAATTGAGATCGAGATTGCTTTGATTCCACGAGAGCATGTGAATTAAGAAAGCAGGGATGATGATGATGATCTTTATAGTTAATGATATGTATGAATACCCGTATCGCCCATGTTACAATTCTATTGTGGAAGTGTTGTGGTAAAGTGTTCATTCACTCGACTCTCAATCCTAGGGTTGAGAGTTCGAATCCTAGTCCGGCGCCAACATCCCTCGGCAGGACATTATACATATTTGACACTCTCTAGTCTCTACCCAAGTTTTAAATGGGGTTTTCAGAGAGGAAAAAGTGGTCAATCTATGCATCGTCCTCTACCCCCCTCCCCCTGTATGTTTGAAGGCAGGGTTCACAAATGAAAATTGACCCATTTTTACCCATACTTTATTTATTCAAATTTGTTGGATTATATTTATGAATTAAATCAATTTAGAAAAAATGCAATATAAATCATTGTTTTTAAAAAACATGTTTAAATCAGTGATTTCAAATTTACATGGATTGTTTCTTCCTTTTCTTCTTTTTGTGCAAACCGTAAAGGATATTGGAAATATTCAAAGAATTAAACTCATAACCCAGAAATAATAAAGGGAATTCTAACTCTCTATTGGGTTCAGATAAAGAGATCGGTTTAGTCATGAAAACAGAACGCAATGTGAAAGACACCCAAGAGCCAACATTGATCCAGCCCAAGGTTCCTTGTACTTCTAGACATCAAATCCGCTGCTTTCTTGATCTTCGTTGCGGCAGCGGCGCTCAGTCCGACGCCAGACCCGTGTTTACCGTCGATATTGATCCGGTGTGGGGTGGTATTTGCGTTGTATGGCCATGTTTCTCACAGTCATACAATATGAAACCATCCCTGGCCGCCGTCTTCTCTGCTGTGAGTCCTACGGCATGATGGGAAGTTATTGTAGTGTTTGGATTGGTAAATGGTTGTCTCGCTTGAGTAAGATTTCGACTAGATGAGAGAGAGAGAGAGAGAGAGAGAGTTCCCATGCCTTCTCTTCTCTGGCTGTGATTGTGATATTTCATTTATTGAGAGCGAGAAGGGCATTAGATCTGTTGAAGTATGCAAGTTAATGCCCTTCTGGCGCCAAACAGACAATTCTCCTTTGTGTGTGTGAGAGATATCAGATGTGTATAGATTACAACTCCAGGGTTATATGATCCATTAATGACTTGGGATGTGTGCTTAGAAAATATATGGGTCATTTTGGTGATGGGTCAGTTTCCCAAGACGGGTCATCGTGATCTTTGCGGGGAAATTCAACGTAGAATTCAGCTCAGAAGAAATTTTCTGCTTTAAGCTCTAGCTACATTCATTTGCATTAAAGTATCTTGAGCTCTGTTATGGGAATCTTATTTTGAGAAAAAATTGTTATGATTTCCTCTGGATTGTTTATCCTGCAGTAGAACCAGTGAAATATAAAAATTAAAAGTTTGTCTTTAATAATCATGATAATATAACATCATACTTAGATAGCATATACATTGGATGTCGACCTTTTACGTGAATGATGAATTTAGTCATCTTAAAGCTTTGTCAAGTTTTATGAATTCTATTCGATATTGAATTTCACAACCACTGAACCGCAAATAAGTCGTATTTAATGTGCATTATATATACCTTATATCAAGCACTTCTTCTTCAATCATCGCAACGATTATATTGTTTATAATGAAATTATTTCAATACAGTCATAGGGTGTTGTGAGCAGCTAGATATAATAGATCAAGTGATATGTATTTTATTTTATGAAAGAAAATTTATATGCAGCATATTTCTATTTGTTTTCTCTAAATGTTTTTTTTTTAAGTGGACTATAATTGTAGGAAAGGTGAAATCCTTGATTCTGATGGTTTTGCAAGAAGCTTTTCATCCTTTATTGGATCTGTAACTGCAAAACTTGATAATATATGACTTCCAAAATACTGAATGGTATCTAAAAGCCTTTCAGAATAATGAAAATATATTTTAATAATATTATAACATGGAGTCACGGATTTTTAAAGAAAGCTGAAGAATCAGAGAGAAAAAGAAATAAAGATTGTGTAAGTACCTGGGAAAGAGAGTTTCCTGATGAGAATTGTGGAGGGGGGGGGGGGGGGTCTGTGTCATTGGTTGCCATGACTACCATAGTGATGTGGGGAATATCATCAGGGGAAATTTAGTGTAGGATTGGTGCATTGAGTCTGATTCTCCATGTTATTCCTTCAATTTTTACTCCCACGTCGAGGGACTTTTGATTTTTTTCCTTCCCCTTTCTATTGGATGGCATGATTGTTTGGCTCGTTGAGTTATGACAGTGTGAAAAGCAAATATGGTGGGATGTACTGTGATAATTACATTTAAGGATGAGTGGAGGATTTGCACAGGCACACACATCCACGGGGCTGTCATTCATTGCTCTGTGCCATCAGAGAGGAGTGACCTTAAACAGGAGAGTCAACACCTCATGATCTTATTATAATCCTCTCTTTTGTGATCTTTACCATCCGAAAGCACACATTCTCCCTCTCTCCTTCCCTCCCTCCCTCCCTCCCTCCCTCCCTCCCTCCCTCCCATCCTCCCTCCTATCCTCCTCATTCCTTGCTTCTATTCCCCTTATTCCTTCTTTCTATGCTATCCCATCCTCCTTATTCCTTTCCTCCCTCTCTTCTTTCCTTCCTCCTTCCTCTCTTCTTTCCTTCCTTCTCTCTTCTTTCCTTCCTGCCTTCTCTCCATAAATCCTTTTTGTACCAATCCCTCTTTCTCTCATGTTGTATGTTTGGAGCCAGGAGGATATTAACCCATATATTTTAACACAGATTTGATGTCTTTGAAAAAGTGACAAATCTCTTAGTCCATCCTTTCTCTCTCTCTCTCTCTCTCTCTCTCTCTCTCTCTCTCTCTCTCTTTCTCTCTCTTTTTTTTTTTCTCTCTCTCTCTCCCCCTCTCTCTCCCCCTCTCTCTCTCTCTCTCTCCCTCCCTCTTTCTACATCACTGCATATTTCCATGAATCCTCTTCAGACCTTCCTGTCATATACCTCTAAATTCACCCCTCCCCTTTCTCTCCTATTCTCTCTTACTCTCTTTCTGCATTTAATTCTTTTATTTATTTCTTATTCAATTATGTTGCCATTCATGCAATTATATATAATAATTATTAACATTATTTTCATTCATTTCTTATTTATTTTTGTGCAGGTTTGATTATGGTGACAAGTTCTGGGCGATCAAGTCCAAATACTTTGTGTGTGGTTGTGGAGCCGCGATCTGCAAGCATAAAGGGAATAAGATGCACATGAACCTCCTCATGACTGCTACCACTACAGCAACTCCTATGGCAACACCAACTTCTTCTAAATGAGGAGAGTCTATACATGGGTGATATTTAATATGTAATATCTACCCTACCCACCGTTCCCTTCACCCAGTCTCCCCCCTTCCATCAACCCCTTCCCTCCCCCACAACCCCTTTGTTCTCCTCATCCCTTCTCTCACCCCTCCACTCGCCCCTTCCCACGCCCTTCCTTACTCCTTCCCATTCCAAGGTTCTACGTACTTTTAATTTAGGAAGCTTTTGATGATTATGAGCTATGTAAAGTTCATCAATGCATACAAGAACAAGTGGCCTAGTAGATTCTCTCTTCAGCAGTGACGTAACAGAGTAATTCATTATAATACACTTCACTATCCTTTACCTTTGTCATCATAACAAAGTGTTTTTTTTTTAATATCATTTTAATGAATTAATAGAATAATGTCCTACTAGAAAATACTTCCCATTTAATAGTTACTTTAGATATACATAGTTAAAACATTGTAGCTCATGAAAAAGAAATTTTTGGTGCAAATAAAAACATTCTGGGAGGATGGTGTCAAATCTACTGAGTAGACAAAGAAGTTAGTTAGAATCTTGTGAGCTGGACTCGCATAAATGAATATTTGATATTATTTTTTTTATCCTACTGTATGAATAGAGAAAGCTCAAATGTAGATAAGAACAGTTTTTTTTTACAGTTAATACCACAGAGTGGAAAATCGTTGAAGGGGACAGAGATGATACTGGCAAATTTATATCGAATTTGGTCTTTAAAAAAGCTCTGTAAAAGAAAAAGAGCCCATGAAGCATTTTAATCAAAGATGCCTCTTTTTTTATAGTCCTATATTTTTATTACCTGTTATTAAGTCATTTTAAACCATGAGAAATTCGTTGACATTGATCGAGAATGATTGAAAGTGATTTTTACTGACAATTTTAATTGTAATATTTGTAATTGTGTTGTTATTCTCTGAAATCGATTGTTGATTGGTTGTATGTGTAAAAAGTGCTTTACTATGGAAATCTGCATGAAGACTGGAACAAAGTGAACTTGGATGGTATTTGATTTAACTGAAAGAAATGAGAACAAAAAATTGCGGTTGTTGCAGGCATAACAACTGGTTCAGATTGAGACAGGAAGAGTGTGGGCCCTTACCTCATGCATTTAAGTTAAATCGTCCCTATTTTCACCAAGTGACGGTAGTGAGGAAAATCGTCACGCAAAGTGGATGCAATTTTTTTTCACTACCGTAACTTCGTGAAAACAGCGACAAAATGACTGAAATCACAATCAAGCTATTCACAAAGTAAACATACATCATTTTGTTTGAAAACCACAAAGATATGGCTGTTACATTTTGTTTATCTGTAGTCAAGTCAAGTCCAAGCTATTTTCTCCCATACGATACTGAGCACATCTCAGATCAGATTTTAATATATCTGATAATTGTATCAAGTCAACAGCCTTACTAGTGCTTATTTCAGACCAAATATGAAATGAATTGACACATTTGATTTTGATGTTAACCTTTGTTAAAAAATCTACAACACTTTGTAAATATGGAACCACGTATTATTAAATACCATTGACGTCCTCATCCATGCACTTGTTCTAGTGTTCTGATCATGATGTGTTTTGGTTGCACTGTTTTAAGGGTTTCTGTTAGCTGGACTGTCGGGCTGTTGTGGTATGTCGTGTTGCACAAAGAGATATTGTATTCTTTGAGTAAAGCTGGAACAGAAGACAGCATTTGGGGAGTGGGTAGGTTTATTCAGGATTTTGTAATAAAATAAATCTCAACCCACTTTGGGCAGTTTCCATACATTTCATGGATAAGTAAAGAATTGGTGACAAATTCTGCTACTTTTCTTGAAGTTTTACCGTGTACTATACTATTTATCAAGTGGTTCTCCTCAAAAAATTATCATGCTGCAAATTTTTAACATGATTATCCCAAGTCTTTGACTCCTTTGAAATTAATACCTTACATGAGAGGCTGGAAACAAAGAAAACTGATTTTTAATTCAAGTATATTTATGGTTTAAGGCCAGTATGTATATTATTTCACTGTATGATTTTGTAGTATCTTGAAAGATTATGATTGATTCTGAACTTGGGAGTACATTTGACAAAATAATACTGAACGGAGGGAATAGGGGGAGGGGGGAATGAAGGATGGAGAGTTTGTCAGATGTATAGTCAACAATGTGTAACTTGTAAAGCTTATGTGTGCATGACTAAGAATTATGAACATGTGTATGTTGTGTGTGGTCTGGGCATTTTTGTGTTGAAATAGACTTTTGAAATTCCATCAACACTACCTCACAAGAGTTTTCACAAAAGTAGCTTTTTTATAGCTGTCATATTTCCTAATTGTTTGAGAGAGTAAGTCACAAATGAGCTTTGGTACTGATTTCTTTCAGTCTGATATTGGATTTACTCTCAAGAATTGTATGTTACACTTGTCCACTTGTTTAGATTTGACTTTCAAGTAATTTGTTAAACAAGTACAGTGTAATATATAACTACAGATTGTATTCATGACTATATCTCACATTTGTATAACAACAACATCAGGCTAACGAGGGCTACTTCAAACTTATCTTGTACGTTTGCCTCAATGTACACAGGTTTGGATTAATTTGTGTAACATCTTGCATCGTGCTACTGGCAGAGCTTCTTTCTCATAATATATTCCCAGTTTGTCATTGCATGAACATAGAATGATCACATCACTTGTTTTGTAATTGTCATCCATTCATCCTTCCAGTCATTTACGTGCTATAAAGTGCCTTCCTTATTACTTATCCAAACCTGCTTCACCACCTGAGAAATCAGTCATCATTGTCTGCATTAATGTATTCTGACATTTCATTCCCAGTTGCAAATTGGGTTATTTGTGCTCAATTTTCCCTCCTTCCTCATTCAGAGAAACATCTTATTGTCTGCTGACGGCCATAAGGGCATTTAATTTGCTAAAATGCTATTAATTTACTCTCTTCAGGCTCCCACATGTAGCAGATGATGTTATGTTTGGAGCCAGAAGGGCGTTAACTCATTTACTCTCAATACAGAGTTAATGACCTTCTTGCTTTCAGCAGACAAAAATGAACACGCTATGCTTTGCTCATTATGTGCTCATGATGAATTTACAGTCTAACATCAGTCCTCTGAAAATGCAACATTTTTTGTCCATTTTGTCAGCTGCCAACCATGAGAGAGTGAAAGGAAATCTCTTTAATAGTCAACTACTCTAAAAGAAAGCAGAAAAATCTAAAATGCAGATTGGTGAAAGTCTGAATGAACTGAAGGAAAAAAAATCAAGTAACACATTTTTGAAAGTTATTATCACAATATGTATTTGCACTTCGAATTGGCTGAAGCGGTAATGTCACTGTAAAGGAGTGCTAGACACCTTTCCCATTTGTTTCGACTCATGATGTGTCTTAAAATTTATGGCTCTGGGAGGATATTTCTTTTTAGAGGACCTAAGGACCTATATCAAAAACTATCCATAACATGTGATGAGAAGTAATGGAGAAAGCACTATGGAGAAAAACAGAAAATAATGATATTTTTTTACCCATGTCAAATTGGAGAGTTGTACATGACTACAGCTGTTTATCATAATCCACTAACCCAATTGCCAATTTGAGATTCACAGTGATTTAGTGATCTCGTATTTAAAACCTTCATAACTCCCTTATTATTTCAACTTTCACCATTCTGTTTCTCTAATCTGTCCACTTTAATACAAATGAACTTGTTACTATGGTTGGATTGCTCTTAATCAACCCCTTCAAGCTCTAAGAGACTTTACTCATGACCATTCAATCTTTGATTGTAAAAAACAATTTTAATACCTTGTTTACTATTTTATCATAGATTGTATTTGTCTCTGTGAAAATGAGTTGTATATTTTGCTTGTGAACTGCAAAGCCGTTTCAACACGATATGTAAGATGACATGTATTTGCTTATGGTGAAGAGTTGTTTAAAGATGTCATAATGGGTTTTATTGATAATTGTTTATCCTTTTATTTTGTATTGAGAATGATAAAATATGGCCTTTTCCTAACTTCCTATACATTTTAGTATCAAAACAATATTTGTATGACTTTTGTTTTTATTTGAAATTTGAAAAAGGCCTTATTCCAACCAGTCCACCTTTCCTTCTTTGTTCATGAAAAACACAAAATACATCAAATTGACAAGGGGTATGAATAATTTATTTGTTACCTGTATCATTAAGCTAGATTGATACATGGAAGGGTACCATAAGATTTATGGAGCTCGTGCCTCTGGAGAATATTTGAAATATGAAAATTAAAAACTTATTTAGGTCAACAGAAAGAGAGACAGAGAAATGACTTGTTTTGCATTGTGTATATAAAGAGATAATTTAAATATTCTCTGCCGTACCCTAGTATTCTGTCCCTGTCTTTCTGCTCTAAGACGCTAAAAGCAGTATATTTGACAGGAGCTCTGGTGAGTTAAATTTATTCATGACAGTAATATAATTTGCCTTTAAGGATTACGCTTTGAAATGTCATATGCATAGGGGATCACTTTTTGGAGAGAATACACTTGTTGCTTTCTACCCATACCCCGGCCTGACAGGCATGCGTCTTGTGCACCCCCTCGCCCCCGTTTATAATTTTCAGTCTATTTATGAAGATGTGTTGTAGAAGATAACCCGTGGGTGTGTATAGGTGTATCATAGAATAGTTAAATGCCACCGTTTGTCGTGCTTTGAAAGAATATAGTAATTGTGTAATATTGACTTTGTTTTTGAGTGCGACTTGCTTTTTAAGTGACCGATGTATATGTGTAGGTATTGAATAACAATCGATTAAAAGACACATTGAAAAAGTACTTTATGTGTGGTTTTGTTTCTGGATATGATTGAGGATTACGTATGAGAAGGTTGAATGTGGTTTGGAGGTTTCTTTGCAGACACGACATCTTGTTAGAGTAAAACTACTTGCAGGGTCTGAACTAACTTTGACAGTAGACTAGCATATCAGGGTTCTAAAAAGAACAGCTCTTTCGTCATATAAGATATTAATATATTGGGGAGGGATACATGAAGGAGAAGGACCAAAAGAAGAAGAATGAGAAGAACAAACAAAGGAGAAGAAGAAGTTGTTGTTTACTTTATTTAGACACGGTATAAAACGCACTTTCAGCCAAAAAAGGCTGTTTCTCAGTATGTCCGTGTGTATGGTATTACACAAATGAATTAGCCAACAAAATTACCATACAAGGATCAAATACATGCAGTACAAACATTTTTAAAAACGAGGCATTACATATCAATGAATGATTAATTATATAGAGGCTTACATTTAGCAGAAGAAAAGAAATATGAAAGAGAGATATGACTAGGCTACCAGTCAAAGTGAAGAGAACTAAATAAGGAAAGGCGACAAAAGAGAAAGTAAAAGATAGAACGAAAGGAATACAACATTTACAATACACAATAATATTGGGTAAAAAGCATTACAAACATTACAACAAAACATTTTTTAAATGGCATATTAATGATCTCTTCCGTAATATTGAACTGCTGTAACAAATTGTTTGTAATCTTGCTCATCACGTGAAAGACATGGCAATTTATTAAATAATTTGGTACTAGCATAAATGCTACCAAATCGCATAAATTGTTGTTGGTTTACCAAAATACAAAGTGAACAAGAGGACAAGAAGAGGACAAGTAAGAGAAT